CAGGACAGTATCAAACACTTTACTAAAGGTACCGGTTACACATCAGGACAGTATCAAACACTTTACTAAAGGTACCGGTTACACATCAGGACAGTATCAAACACTTTACTAAAGGTACCGGTTACACATCAGGACAGTATCAAACACTTTACTAGAGGTATCGGTTACACATGAGGACAGTATCAAACACTTTACTAAAGGTATCGGTTACACATGAGGACAGTATCAAACACTTTACTGAAGGTATCGGTTACACATGAGGACAGTATCAAACACTTTACTGAAGGTATCGGTTACACATGAGGACAGTATCAAACACTTTACTGAAGGTATCGGTTACACATGAGGACAGTATCAAACACTTTAATGAAGGTATCGGTTACACATGAGGACAGTATCAAACACTTTAATGAAGGTATCGGTTACACATGAGGACAGTATCAAACACTTTACTAAAGGACTTGTACAGAAGTAGGACTTGTGCAGTGGCTGGGTAGATTGTGTGTCGGCCTTTGGAAGTGGGACTTGTACAGTGGCTGGGTAGATTGTGTGTTGGCCTTTGGAAGTGGGACTTGTACAGTGGCTGGGTACATTGTGTGTCGGCCTTTGGAAGTAGGACTTGTACAGTGGCTGGGTATATTGTGTGTCGGCCTTTGGAAGTAGGACTTGTACAGTGGCTGGGTAGATTGTGTGTCGGCCTTTGGAAGTAGGACTTGTACAGTGGCTGGGTAGATTGTGTGTCGGCCTTTGGAAGTGGGACTTGTACAGTGGCTGGGTAGATTGTGTGTCGGCCTTTGGAAGTGGGACCTGTACAGTGGTTGGGTACATTGTGTGTCAACCTTTGGAAGTGGGACTTGTGCAATGGGATTACTTTTATTAGTGACTATCAGAGTGTAGCCTGACTCCACTTGTGTGTTTTCACAGCATTCCGAATAATGTTCGTGTCGCTGAAACTGGTGGATGACCTTTTCAATAATAATGTTTGTGTCACCGAAACTGGTGGATGACCTTTTCAACAATAATGCTTGTGTCACCGAAACTGGTGGATGACGTTTTCAACAACATTGTTCGTGTCACCGAAACTGGTGGATGACCTTTTCAACAACAATGTTCGTGTCACCGAAACTGGTGGATGACCTTTTCAACAACAATGTTCGTGTCACCGAAACTGGTGGATGACCTTTTCAACAACAATGTTCGTGTCACCGAAACTGGTGGATGACGTTTTCAACAACAATGTTCGTGTCACCGAAACTGGTGGATGACGTTTTCAACAACAATGTTCGTGTCACCGAAACTGGTGGATGACGTTTTCAACAACAATGTTCGCGTCACCGAAACTGGTGGATGACCTTTTCAACAACAATGTTCGCGTCACCGAAACTGGTGGATGACCTTTTCAACAACAATGTTCGCGTCACCGAAACTGGTGGATGACCTTTTCAACAACAATGTTCGCGTCACCGAAACTGGTGGAT